CAACTCGATGGCACCTAACAATAACAACAATGGGCAAAATATTGAATAATGCAAAAAAAACAAACAAAAATTGAATGATGCAGAAAGCATAAAAAGGTGGAAGAAATGCATATAGTCATTATACCAAAAAATAAATTGTCAATTTTCAAACATTTCAAGAGGTAGCATATGATCAGGAACCAATGGTACTGAAGGAAGAAGTCCAAGCTACACTGAAGGCATTTGAGGAAAAACAAGGCTCCAGGAACTGATGGAAAACAAATTGAAATCTTTCAACTAACTGATGTAGCACTGGAAAAACTCACTCATCTATACCAAGAAATTTGGAAGACAAATAACTAGCCAACAGATTGGAAGAGACACATATTTGTGCTCATTACAAACAGTGGTGATGCAATGGGATGTGGAAATTAATGAACAATATTATTAATATCACATAAAGGTAAAATTTTGTTGAAGATAATTTAAAGACTGCTGTAATAATACAGTGACAGAACTGTCAGAAATTTAAACTGGATTCAGAAGAGGATGTGGGACTGGGGATATCATTGCTGATGTCACATGTATCTTGGCTAAAAGCAGAGAATGTCAGAAGGATGTTTATTTGTGCTTTATTGACTATGCAAAGATTTTAGACTGTGTGGACCATGACAAGCTATGGATAACATTGCAAAAAATGGGTATTCCAGAACACGTAACTCTGCTCCCGAGGGCTCTATATATAGACCAAGAGGCAGTTGTTTAAATAGAACAATGGGATACTGAATGGTGTAAAACCAGGAAAGGTATACACGAAGATGGTACCCTTTCATCATATCTATTGTCAGTATTTGTTGTTGTTTTTATGTGCCGTGGAGTTGATTCCAACTCATAGCAACCCTGTACAGGGTTTCCAAGGATGTAAATCTTTACAGGAGCAGAAAGCCTAGTGAGCAAATAATCTGAGAAGCTGGATTATATAAAGAAGAATGTGGTATCAGGATTTTAGGAAGACGCAATAACCTATGGTATGCAAATGATGCAACCTTGTTTGCTGAAACACAAGGCAGACTTAAAAATACTTACTGATGAATATCAAAGAGTAGAGCCTTCAGTATGGACTGCACCTCATTGTGAAGCAAACAAACATTTGCACAACTGGATGAATAAATAACATCATGATAAATGAAGAAAAGCTTTATTAAGATGTCAAAGTATTCATTTCCTTAGGATCCACAGTCAATACTCATGGAAGCAGCAGTCAAGAAATCAAAGGATATGCTGCATTAGGTAAATCTGTTGCAAAAGACCTGTTTAAAGCGTTCTAGAGCAAAAATGTCAGCATGAGGACTAAGGTGTGCCTGAATAAACTATGGTATTTTTAATCACCTCATATGCATGTTGGACAATGAATAAGGAAGACCACATAAATAATTGGTGCATTTGAATTAAGGTGTTGTAAAATGATATTAAAAGTACCATGGACTTTCAGAAGAACAAACAAATCTGTGTTGGAAGAAGCACAGCCAGAATGCTCCTTAGTAGGTAGGACGCAAAGACTTTGTCTCTCATACTTCTGACATATTATGAAGAGGGATTAGTTCTTAGAGAAAGACACAATGCTTGGTAAAATGGAGGGTCAGTGAACAGAGGAAGATGCCAAAAAGATGGATTGACACAGTGGCAGCAATAGTGGCCTTAAATATAACCATTGTGAGGATGGGGCAGGATAGGGAACTGTGAGTTGGAAATCACTGAATGATGCTAACAACAACAATCAAAAAAGCATGCCTGAACATGTGTCATGAACTCTGCTAGCTATGAAGGCCTGCATGGAATTATAACTCATGTTCTTACTGTTGAGTAGTAACTCTTAACAAAGAATAATTAAAAAGCTATAAAATGTACATTGAATGTCTAATACTGATTTGATTTTATGATTTATTTTAAGTGCACTTAATTTACAGTTACACTATGAGAAAACTAAAATCCAAAGTGAAATCAAGTGGATTCTTCATAGTAGTTTGATGTGATTTTAATTTTGTCCTCTCCTTTGATAATTTTTCAAGGGCTTGAAAAATGATGTGACTCAATCTTGGAAACCTACATGCATTACACATCTAGTATGTGAATGAATAATTTTCCCACTATAGTAATACACCTTGACCCTGTCTAGGTAATGTTTTCAGAAAGGCTACCCCTGGGTGAACCATGATCCATTCCTATTTCTTTAAGAATTTGTAGGTAAGTCAGAACAGCTGTTGTTGTTGTTAAGTGCAGTGAAGTCGGTTCCCACCCATACTGACCCTGTACAGGGTTTCCAAGGAGCGTCAAACTGTCAAACTGACCTTGAGTGCCAGTGCATTATCCCACAGCACCACACCAAGACTCTAGAACAGGAGTATTCAGTTCTTATTTAACCTTGTTGTTGTTGTTATGTGCTATGGAGTCGGTTCCGACTCATAGTGACCCTGTACAGGGTTTCCGAGGCTGTAAATCTTTAGGGGTGCAGAAAGCCTCATCTTTCTCCCACGGAGCAGCTGGTAGTTTCGAACTGCTGACCCTGAGGATAGCAGCCCGATTCTTAACCACTAAGCTACCAGAGCTCCTTACTTTAGATAAAGAACAGGATTGTGAAGAAAAGTTTTATTGCAAATAGGGGTTCAGTGGTTTCAAAACATAACAGTAAAGACCAGGAGTTATCTGTAAGTGCAAAGTCACCAGAGGCCTGCCTTTGTAGCTTTGTTGTTATGTGCCATGGAGTCGGTTCCGACTCATAGCGACCCTATACAGGGTTTCCAAGGCTGTAAATCTTTATGGGAGCAGAAAGCCTCATCTTTCTCCCGCAGAACAGCTGGTAATTTTGAACTGCTGATCTTGAGATTCGCAGCCCGATTCGTATCCACTACGCTACCAGAGCTCCTTCAGCTGCCACCAACCCTACTATTTAGCAGTATTTGCAACTGCAAATGAGTGATTAATTTCACACAGGGTTGTAGTTGTTGCTGTTAGTGCTGTCCAATGGATTCCGACTCACAGTGACCCTGTATAGGGCCTTCTAGCAACTAACAGTCAGATGGCAGTAGCTTTAATCACTATATATGTGGCCAGTCAGTATTCCAATCTGGAACGCACCCATGAAAATGGCTTTCTCAGGTCCTGATTTTGGTACTACCATGCCAAGATTCTTAACAACCCTTCTTTAGCTTGATGACCTGCAGGTTGCATCCAGGGAGCTGTGTCCCTAGGTGACCATTGCATCTCATTCATTTGCTTTTGTTTTTGAAATGATGCACTGACAAGTATTTCCTGCCCTCTACTTAGAAGCATACACATCTTTACTGCATTTAATTACTTACCCCAATTCATTACTTACCCCATTATCACCCAATATATCAAGCTGCTTTATTAAATCAGGAATGTTCACATCCTGTAAAATAAGGCAATCCACTTAAATCAAAGACACAAATATGGCCCCCATTCCATCAGTGCCAAAGCTCAGGGAAGACATTTTAAGGTCTGTAATATCTTGAGTTGTTTCTCAATCAGGCAAACTCAGTTTTAAGTTTCTACTCTGCTACTTGCAAGCTGTGTGAATTCAGGCAAACTGCTTAATAGTTCACTTTCAATTCCGCCAATTGCAAAATGGAGATAATAATTACTTCCTTCATAAGCTGATCTTAAGGGCAAAAAAACTGCTTATGAAAGAGTTTAACATATAGAAAGGACTCAAAATATACCCATCAACATTTTTTTTCTTATAATCATCCAACTTTTGTAAATGATCACATATTTTAGGCACAAACAATAGTAATATATGTGTTTGCGGTTGTTAAGTGCCATTGAATCAGTTCCAACTCATAGCCACCCTGTATAGGGTTTCTGAAAAGCAGCTTGTGGGTTTGAACTGCCAACCTTGTGATTCACAGTCCAGTGCTGATCCTACAGCGCCACACCAGAAGTCCAACTATTAAATATTTTAGGCATAAAGGAAAGTAATAGTGATATAAAGAATCAAATTAATTTTCATCAATGGGATCCTGACCTGGTTGAATTTTGACTGTCATGTGCAAAACTATAATGCCATTCCCTTTTTTTTAAGGTATGGGACATTAATTTCAGGAGTCCTGGTGGCATAGTGGTTAAAGTGCTTGGTTCCTAAAGGGTTTGGTCAGCAGTTTAAACCCCTCAGCAGCTCCACAGGAGAAAGAAGTGACAGCTTGCTTTTGTAAAGATTTACAATGCTGTAAAGCATGAAATCTGAAGGCTTTTTGCTTGCAAATGATTCCAACCAGGCAGAGAGCTTAATTCCAGCTTGTGTTCAGATGCTAATATTTCTTGAGTACCTCTGATAGAGGAACTGCCAGAGTTAAAGTAGAGAATATTTTTAAGTGGGTTTTGGGCTGTTTCCCCTAGCCAGCCCTTAAAGGAACATTCCTGGACACATTCCTGGTTGCCAGCCTGTGATGTCATACCCAGAGCCTCAGAGACTGTCAGCTTTCCTATCTGAAATAGTCTCCTCCCTGCTCTCCATGGGCCCAGCATATGTATGTGACATATGGCTGCTGCCATTGGTGTGGACGGATGTCAGAGAAGATTCCTTTGTTCCCTGTGCCCTGTGTGGATATGGAACTTCGGAAACTCATCATGGTATTTCTGATGACTTCACTCACCGAGTGATCTATGTTTGCCTTTGACTTGTGTTCACTCCTGTTTAAGACTTAGCAAATAGTCTCTATAATATTTACATATTTGAAGAAGGAGTCTCTTTTCTCCCCAGTAACAAAAGTCTTAGAAAGCCTATGGGCAGTTCTATTCTATCCTATAGGATCACTATGAATCACAATATACAAGATGGCATGGGGATTGATTGGTGTTAACTTCATTCTATGGGATACAGGACTCCTGGTGTGGCACTGTAGGATAACCACTGGACTATGAACCACAAGGTCAGCAGTTCAAAGCCACCAGCTGCTTCTCAAACACTCTATACAGGGTCACTATGAGTTGAAACTGACTCCACAGCACTTAATAACATGAGATTGCAGGTGAACTGGACTATATTTCTTGAGTCAGTGTGAGGCAGCAGTATCATCTGAAAGAGTTCTCTTGGATATAAGTTACACACATTGGTTGAAGTTGTTTATAATTTATCTAACAAAAAAAATCTAAGAAACCAAAGTAATTTAATTAGAGTTAAATAAAAAAAATTGATTTGCTTTATAAATTTCCATGTAGTTCAGGAAGACAGAGGTTTAAACTCCACAAAAATAGTTATTAGAAATTAAGCAGCATAATTTTATTGTCTCATTTCCCCTGCCCTCCCCCCGCTTTTTTTAACCTCATTAATATGACTGTCTCCTCATACTCCTATTCAAAAAACAGTAGCGCAAAGCCCTACCACCAGGTAAATCAAAGTCTAGATCAAAGCAGGTGGGCTTGGCAGCTCAGAGTGGGCCATGCAGAGGGTAGGAGGAGACCTGGAAGAACAGGGGGCTTTCTAGCTTTACTTCTGGAATAGATTCTCACAATGGAATTTCATTACTTGGAAGTACATTGTATTTGTCGGGAAAGCATCACCTGAATTCAACCTTAATATTTAAGATGCATTCCAATATCACTAAAGATAGAATTATATGTCATATAAATAAGCAATACGTTATAAACTCTATGTTCATTTAGGTGAGGAAACCTTCTTAAACATAACACAAGAGATGGTGAACTAAAGGACTTTAAGATCTTTTACCTCTTAAATTTTCTAATTCTGAAATTCCATGAGTATCATTCCACACAATAGTACACAAGGAACTCAACAAATACTTTTCATCTGAAATAACTCTAAGCTTCATGAAGTACTGAATTTAGTTTATATTCCCCCAAACAACTGAAACTAAGTATCTTCATACATCTTCTGATTCTATATTATACTTTATGTTGTTCTAAGCAATTAAGACTTCCTGAGTTCTTTGCTGTGACCATTCACACATGGCACACATTTATTTTGGTCATGTTCTACTGATTTTCCCAATAGATAATAGCTATTTTCATTTCTTCAGTATCTTGGGTCAAAATGACATCCACGTGTTAAAAGACAAAAAAGTCACGATCATCCTCCCGCCTTTGGAAATCTAAGTTTTTCTAGTTTCTATAAACATAAAAAAAATTAAGTATCTGCCTACCTTTACACCTTCTTTCATACAGTAGATCTGCAGTGCACTCACACCATCTGAGAATGGGTGAATTTGTAGATTAAATGGAGGGGATCGTCTCTCTCTCTCCTTGAAATATAGTGAAGGAGATATGGGAATTAAAAAAAAAAAAAAAAGGCAAAAACTGATTAAACACTATACCAGTTGTTTGTGTGCTCTCTTTATATTCTTTTGGCAGTTTATCAATATGTCAATTGGCAAAATAAATAAATAAACTTAAGAGGTTCGTGGTTAAATTTAATGGAAAAGTACTGACTAGCCAAGTAAATCAGAGGTATGGGAGAAGAATTTATGGAGGGTGTCATCCATTTTTGCAAGTTTTTAATCCAGGAAATGTGGGAAGTAAAGTTTCAATTTAAACTGTATGAATATTTAGAGCTTTCAGATATTGCAAAGAGTGGTTTTGCCCTGAAGCTTTATGGCAGCTAACAGCCTTTTTACATATTCAATCCACTCAAGTTACATGAGTTAGCTACGTGGGCTGCGAAAGATGACTTAACTCTTCTTGACTCCTAGCATTCTAACTCTTTTTCCATACCTAATATGAAATAACTTCAGGAAGAAAGAAATGGTAAAATAACAGAAAAATCATATGGGAATTTTTGTTATCCTTCATATATCAACATGAGTTCAATCAGATCCCAAGCCAGATTCCTCCATGTGATACAATCAAATTCTGATTTGATTTACATGTTATATTAAGAAAAATAAGAAAAGCTGAAATTTGGTTAACTTGATCAAGGTAGTTCCTAAGATAAGTAAACCTTATTTCTTAGCAGCCTTTTGCATAAATGCTTTATTAACTAAAACATTTACTCATAAATCCAAGCACTGAATTACAAGCAGTCCTCAGGTTATGGATGAATCCGACTTGCTCTTTAATGTTATATAAATTTTCCCTCCCTTTTATTTATTTACAACACCCTCTTCATCACAGTTGTTCACTTGCTGCCTGCGCAGCTTTAAATCATTGATATTACACCACAGTACAGCTAAATACAAACCCTATGCACCTGTTGTAACTGACCTACAAATTCAACTTAATGGCTTAAAGACAGTTAGGAACGAATCTTATTTGTAATCCAGGGACTGGCTGTATATTTTCAATACAATTCTTGAAGTAAAATTTTTGATGAGTCAAAATTCAATAAAAGATAGGAATGATTATTTAAAAGCAATGAGAGATGGACAGGGTTTTAAGTCAATTATTTAAGTTATTTTTTACATGATGCACTTTTCTTATTCAAAAAGGTAGAGGCATGAAAAAGCATGGTCTCCCATCAAGCTGTTCTGAGCTGCATTAACGTGTTTCCACCTTAAGGAATCACCAGACTCAGAGAAGTTAATTAATCTCAGCTGTTGCATCATCATTTCTTGAAAGTGATTGTTGGGTTTAAATAACAATATGTACGTGAAATGCTTAGTTTAGCACCTAGCTATAAGTAAGTGTTCAATGCAGGTTAAGGGCTGTGCTTATTTGTATTGGTATTATTATATCCTTACTTCTAGCTCTAGGTTTCGAAACTCCAGCAGTTCATTCTGGTCTCTGGCATCCTGCAGTTCCTGTTGTAACCGATGATTTTCTGCCTCTTGTTTTTCTATCTAATAAAGTAAATCCTTAAGTTAGGTGAGCATTCCAAAAAGCACCTACAATTTTGCAAAGCAAGCATGGATAGCATTCATTTATTCAGTGAGTGAATCATACAGGCCATGAAAAACAATCCCAAGAATACGTGAAAAGAATGCATCTTTGGCTTTCTTTGTAGGTATCCTTTGGTCGAGTTCTGATCACATGGGGATAAAGTTGAGAGATGCTGGGAATAGTGAATCTGAGAGTTCTGATTACCCTCTTGTGGTGGGTCCCGGCAGTGTAATGGAAACAGATTTAAAAGTGTGCACAGAGAACATTAAAACCTCTTATTTGCAAATATCCTAGAGTTACAGTGTCCAAGAATGAACTTTTTTAAAAAAACAAATCTAATCCTATACAAAACATCACTGACTTCCAATTACCTAGACGATAAAATCAAGCTCCTTAATGGAGCATTAAAAACCTTAATAATGTGGTCACCACTTAGGCTTCCAGCTTCAAATGTCATCCCTTTCATCTACACACTCATATAATCACATGCACTCAGGTGCACACTTATTCTTAAGTACCGTGGAGTTGATTCCAACTCATACAGGGTTTCCGAGGCTATAAATCTTTACGGGAGCAGACAGCCTCATCTTTCTCCCACAGAACAGCTGGTAGTTTACAACTGCTGACCTAAAGGTTAGCAGCCCAATTCGTAACCAGTATTTAGGATTTAGAAATCTTGATCTACCCTTTAACCTGACTACCCAGGAGCTCTCTACCTACTTCTGACTGTGAAAGCAGCTCTGATAGCACAGTGCTTAAGAGTTGGGCTGCTAATCTCAATGTCTGCATTTTGAAACTACCAGCCATTCCATGGGAGAAAGATGAGACTTTCTGTTCCCGTAAATACTGACAGCCTAGGAAACCCTATGCAGGGTTGGAATCAAAGCCATGGCACATACCCACCACCACCATTGTCTGTGAGTCCTATTCTTTTTATGTTAGTGAATCACACATCCTTGAACACTAAGTTCCAACATCTCCTACCATAAGGGCCTTTCCCATCTACCTATTTAGAAGTGACATCTCTGCATTGTGTTTTCTTGTAGGACTTCACGTCTCTAGTATAAAATGTACACACAATGAAGTCTGGGGTTGAGTTAGTTGCACGTAAGCATTCCTCTCCCTGTAGACTGAGTCTATGTTTGATTTATTTTTAGACTTCAAGGGATTAGAAAATCTTCATGAGTTTTAGTAGGTTTTTAGACTGCCTTTGATGTTAGCAGTGTGGGTAAGGCCTTATGCACACAATTTAAAATCTTGAGTTTAAAAATAGGATTTATCATAGATAAATAAGATTTATCATAAGATGAATTTACTTTCCAAAATATGCATTTTCAATTCTGTTTTCCTTTTACTCGTGCTCAAAAATTCTCCTGTCAGCCAAAAGATACTAAAACTAAAGGAAATCAGATGATATATGGAAATTATTTTTTATATGATAAAGAAATATAGTATACCTTACTATCTATAAGGAGCTCTGGTAGCGTAGTGGTTACGAATCGGGCTGCGAACCTTAAGGTCAGCGGTTCGAAACTACCAGCTGCTCCGCGGGAGAAAGATGAGGCTTTCTACTCCCGTAAAGATTTACACCCTTGGAAACCCTGTACAGGGTCGCTATGGGTCAGAATCAACTTGACGGCATTTAACAACAACAACAACTATCTATAAGATCTCTGAGACTGTAAAAATCCTAAAAAACAAAAACCTTCATGATATAGGGAAAAGCATAATAAAGGTGGTGAAATCATAAGAAATTTGGAAATGTTATTTAAAGTAGTCAAGTTTTTCATCACATTAGCTGTGTTGGATCTAGCGAATTTTCAAATGCTTTGAGAAGATGACTTCTATCAGAAAGGGCATTTTATTCTCTAAAGTATTTGACTGGGATTATTAATTGGATACTTGGAGAGGATTGCTGATTCTACATCAGTGATTCCTGACTGAACTTCCTAGACTAGGCTCAAAGCCTGAAGAAGTTCTGTACAAGGACACTCAACCTGCTAAAGAGACTCAATGCTAGAATTCCCCACCCACAGTCTATACAACAGCTTTGTTCTGTATCATGGAGAGGGTGAAACAGGATATCTTATCCACAGACTAGAAAGGGAACTCAGATACAGGGACAACACTTCTCTTTCTCTTTCTTGTTTGAATCCACCTTTGAAGATTTGGTGGTCAATTATTTATTCAAGGGTAAAAGATATTAATATAAATAATCCTAATAGATAATTTTAGATTGACCTGATAGATAATTTTGGATTGACTCACAGAATCATTTCCCTTACCCAAAGAAACTTGCAAATTGTTTTTGTCAAGGATAATATAAGATTTTTGAAAAATAAATTTTCACTTAATTTGTGGAAGGTAAATACCAAAAGAAAGCCACCTTTAAACTTAATCTGTTATGTTTACTTTCCCCACATCAAAAGTCTATGTTCAGGTAACTTAACTTACATTTATATTTATGATGGGGCTTCAAGAAGTTCATGGAAAATATCCATTATCTTTTAATTCCGTTTGTCCACGAACTTTTTGAAGTGCTCTTGTGTTAGATCTACATCATGCTTCTGTATATAGTTTTGTTGAAAAACTTTCTGGAAATGCTGTGTGTTTTTTGTTTGTTTTTTTTTTTTTTGCCTTGGATACATCCAAAAAATGTTTTTAATTAAAATACATATATATAAACAGCCAAGCTTAGCAACAAGATAAGAAGTGGGAACACCACGGCACAGTCTTGGAACCGTAATCTATCACTTCCTTGCACAAAATGACAAGTCCTATTTATAGAGCATTTTTTTGCCGATAGAAAACAACATAGGATGCGTGCGTGTGTGGGAGGTGGGAGTGTGTGTGTATATATACATGTACGATTGATATACAGTATATATATACATATGGTTAACAAATCCATTGGTTTCAGGGAACACATCCTTTCAAGTCTGCACCATGCCCAGCGCAGAGCCATGCACACGTGCCACTTAACTGATGGTGATGGAGGTGACAGGGATGCAGTTGAGCGCACGTAGCCAAGAGAGTGCAGCACCGGAAAAGCCTTCCCTTCCTCTGGCCCCAGTGCCACTCCTGAGCGCACCCCCTGCTGCTCCTGGATCTCTCATCATTGACTCCTCTGCCCCACTAGGGTGTTGCGCCCAACATACCTTTTCTAAAAGCTCCTGGTTTCTCTTAATGAAAAGTTGTTTATCTTCTACCCAGTGTGAATCCTGTTTGACAAAGAATATCGTGCAGTCAGCATTTCAGAGTGGCATAAAAGAGCATGTGTTGTCAAACCACTTTGTCAGAGCTGTCTTCTCTTCACCCAGTTTGCCTGCCTGTCAATGACGGGCAAATTACACCCACCCCTTCCAACTCCTTCTGTCCAAGATATTGGAGCCAAAGTTGCCAGGAAAATTTAACCCCTTTTTCATTGTCACTCACTATCTCTGCCTTTTCCAGTCTGAAAAATCCAGGACCAGCCTTCTGGGGACTCAGAAGTGACCACACAGGCAAGAAGTGAAAAGGGTCAGAATGCACACAGGCTAGATACATATGGATGGAAAACATTAAAATGCAGAGCCATAAATGTAGCGTAGAGGCAAAGAATGCAGCTGCGGGGCGGTGGGGTGGGGAGTCTTTGTCTTGGCGCTTTAGACAACTCTGGACTATTTATACAGGGTTCTTCTTCTGGCTAGTTCAACTTCATTCTTTGCTGTGACTGGGTTCACACTTGGCCAGAAAAGCACCATGGACAGAAACATCGAGTCAAACATTCTAATACAATTTGAAAAAGGTCACTGTGGAGCGCCAAGCCGAGTCCTGGATGCTGCCCAGTGCGCAGAGTGAGCTACAAGAAGGTCAGATAGCATTGTCTGTGTCTGATGAAGTTCTAGCAACCAGATGCCTACCTGCCCTTTCTGAGCCAGAGTCGCTTCCAGATCTTCAATTTTGGCTTTATATCTTAATACCTCTGCTTGGAGTTGTTCTTGGGCCTGGTGAAATCAAAATTCCAGAACTTAACAAGTAAAATGATAATGCTTCTTTTTTCCCCTCCCTTGCATGTCCCTGAAGAGACAAAAGGTCAGTAGTTAGAACCCACCAGCTGCTCCATGGGAAACAGATATGGCAGTCTCCTCATAAAGATTACAGCCTTAGAAATTCTGACCTATAGGCAGCTATGAATTGTAATCTACTGGACAGCAGTGTCTTTGGGCGTCTCTAGAATTTAAACCAAGAAGGGAAAAGAGGAATTTTCTTATGACAAAAGCATCTTTGTAAACTATCTTTGTGATTCAAAATTTTCCTTAAATCTTTATCACCAGGCTAAAGTTTAAAGTTCTTAGTTGGCAGTTACAAACGCCATCATATCTCCAATCTTTTCCCACTGCTTTAAAACACAAAGTCCACCCTTCATCTTCAGATGATTTCCTTGGTCCCTAAATATGTCTCCTAACTCCACATCTCTCTCTCTCTCTTTTTTTTGTTTTTTGTTTATGTTTTATTGTGAATTATGTGATAGTTTACATGGGAGAACATTGGTTTTACATTCATTCTATCGTATATCGTCTCATTGCCATGGTTACAATCCCCTCCATGCAATCCTTCCCCCGTACCCCCCAGGTCTTCAGCACACAGTTGCTCTCCCTCTCTGGATCTAAAGTTTCCAGCTGCTCTATTGCTCCACTTCATCATCTCTGGCTCCATTTCAGGCATCACTGCTTCTCTGGTTAGGGACCCGCTCTCTGCTCTTCTCCCTTGTTGGTCCTAGGGACCTCCGCTCCTAGACTGAAAAGTTAATCACTCCCCCCCTTGCTATAAAATGTCTACCTTTACATTTCCAACCCTCACAATCAGTCCCGATAACAATTATTCACTATTGTATCACAAGAGACCCGTCTGCATTTCATTGCATCAGCCCCTGCTAGTCAGATTGAATTACTACACACTGGAGATTCTACCTTCCTCCAGGCCCTCTGGATCTAGGTTCCCTCTTGAAAGCTTGTAAGCCAGTCACTTCTTGCCTTTGTAGCTTCTCACCCTCCATTTTGGGTAGCCAATGTCCAAGTTACCCATCCCTGTCTACTCTGTGTGTGGAGGGTCCACATCTCTCTTTGAACCAATTCCCCTCCTGGAAAGCTTTCTGCCATTTTGTCTCTCCAAAATCTTGCCATTCATTCACAGCCAACTTTTTACCCTACACTGTCATCTTTCCCAACCATTCCAGCAAATGACCATCTCAGTCATCTATAAATGAAGGAAGTATCCTGATTGTATCACTAAGTCTGGAGATCACTAACCAATGCCCTTATACATGAAGAAACATTCCCAAGAGAGTCTGAGTAATAATATGAGGGGATTTCAAAACATTTACCGAAAAATGGAAAGAAAATATAATGGAATTCTCCTATAAACTTTTGAAACCCCTGCATATTTCCCAAAGCTACAGTCTTTGGAGTCCTGGTTGGTGCTATAGATTTATGTGCCGGACTGCAAAGTTGGTTTGATCCGCAAGGTCGGCGGTTCACGTTCACCAGCAGCTCCTCGGAAATCCTATATAGAGTTGCTATGGGTCAGAACCAAATCAACAGCTCTTAACAACAACAACAGTCTTTATTATTTATATCACTCTCTTGGGTATAAATAGTTGTTGTTAAGTGCCGTTGAGTCAATTCTGACCCTGCCCAAACTGTAAGCAGCTTGACTTTGGACATGATTTCAAATACTCTATTTTTTGATACTATTCAAATGAATCAGTGCAAATAAACAGGAACATAAAAATAATAAAAAACAATCTACATATCCACCAGCCAGTTTTGTAAAGTTCTAACCTATGTATTGCCGTATTTATATCTTAAATAGCTGTGTTAAACATATTATGCTAAAATACAGTTGAAAGTCCTAGAGTTTGTCATCATTATTTGCCAAATTTAACCACATTCCTGAATTGGATGCTTATTTTTTCTGTGTATGGAAGTATAAGTGTATGTATGTAGCCATTACACTACAAATATGAAGGGCTTCCAAAAGTACACGGAAAAATCCCATTCTTTTAATTCCATTTTTTTTTTTTTGGTCAAACTCTTTTGTTTATGTGTGTATGTATAGGAACAACAGTGGCACAATGGGTTAAATACTGGACTGCTAACTGTAAGAAATGTTGATGGTTCGAACCCACCAGTCACTTCACAGGAGAAAGATAAGGCAGTCTGCTTCTTTAAAGATTTACAGCTTTGGAAGCCCTATGGAGCAGTTCTATTCGTCCTATAGTGTCCTGATGAGTTGGAAACAATTTGAGTTTGGATATTTTGGTATACACACACATACACACTACTATTTTTAATTCTTTTAAGACTTCTGTAAAGTACCATATTCTCTATATAAGTCATTGCAATTCTCAAATCCTATTCTATATGGTGAGTTCATAGCTTTTTTAGAACAATATATTCTCTGAGGTAAATCCTTGAGATTTATCTCTGTTAATGTATTTAGCTCTAGTTTATTAATTTAACTGCCATCTGATATACCACTATATAAAAAATAGTCCCCTAAAACAGAACATATAAAAAAAAAACAGGAAAACAAATAAACAGTTGCAAAAGAAACTGTTCCAAATCATGGCAACCCCATGTGTATCCAAGTAGAACTGTGCTCCATTTAGTTTTCAGTGGCTGATGCTTTAGAATGGATTGTAAGGCTTTTCTTCTGAGGCAACTCTGAGTGGACTCCGACCTTTCTGGTAGCAGCTGAGCATGTTAACCATTTCTCCATCCACGGACTTCTCAATTATATGAGGCTATCACAAATTATTTATTCATTATAGTATTTAAAAACATTAAAATAATTTGCATTTGTTTTGCTATTAAAAACTAGGCTTCAATGTACATTTGTGTGCATGTCTACAAATGTATATATGGAGCAGTTTCTGTAGGGTATGTACTTGGCAAGAAAATGATAGGTCATTCTTATATATACATCTTTGACTTCATAACTGAAAAATGCCACTACTCAAAATGGATAAGCACTGGACTACGAGGTAGGTTTGAACAGCAGGTTTGGCAGTTCAAACCCACCAGTCGCTCCTGTACAGGGTCGCTATGAGTTAGAACCAACTTGATGGCGCTCAATAACAGTTATGTATGATGGTTCCTGGTGCTCCATGTCCTCTTTAAAATAAATATTGTCAGATACATTGTTTTCTGTCAATAGAATAGAAATTTGCTAAGTGTAAAATGATAGTTCATTGCTATTTTAGTTTGTGATTCCTTAATAATTAGTAAACATGAATATTTTATATGCTTATTAGTCTAGTCAGCAAATGAATTCTTACGTTAATTCTTTGGTATCTAAGAGTTCTGTTGTGGCACTGTAGGATAAGCACTGGACTGCTAACCAGAAGGTCAGTGTTACAAATGCGCCAGCTGTTCCTCAGAAACCCAACACAGGATGGTTATGAGTCGGAATCAACTCAACAACACTTAACAGCAACAACATCTCTCTCTCTATGTAAATAGTTTTTGACACTGATCTTATTAAGTATCAAACTTGCCATGTTATTTATTGGAGATTATCTTGTGTTTTAAAAAAATTATCTTGTAATTTGTACATACGCAATCAAAGAAAAAATATTTTTCTTTCCTGCCCTTATAAGTACTTTTCCCCTATCACCTAGATTAAGGAGATCACACTTATCTGAACCATTTAATACTATACTCAACTTTATCAGTTTAAAAAAAGTCTCTTCTTGAAAAAAAAAAAAAAAAAGAGTAACCCACTGCAATTTGATGAACTTTACCTATACTTATGGATATGTTGTTGTTGTTGTTGTTATGTGCCATGGAGTTGGCTCCGACTCATAGCCACCCTGCACAGGGTTTCTGAGGCTGTAAATCTTTATGCGAGCAGAAAGCCTCATCTTTTTCCCGCGGAACAGACGATAGTTTCGAACTGCTGACCTTGCGGTTCATAGCCCGATTAGTAACCACTACACTACCGGAGCTCTTTATACTTATGGATACAGTAGCTCAAAAAGGGGAACAAATCTTTACAGCGAGGATCATTCCCACCCTCTTGGTACAGATGGCAACTTAGCTATTGGCTACCCAAAATGGGGGTGGGGGGACTACAAAGGCAAGAAGTGACTGGCTTACAAGCTTTCAAGAGGGAAGCTAGTTCTAGATGGGGTGGGGGAAGGTAGAATCACTATTGAATGGTTTCCAATCAGTTGGGATGGGGCTAATGTAAGGAGATGGGATAAGACTCTTGTGGTACAATAGTGAATAATTGCTATCAGGACTGACTATGAGGTTTGGAAATGTAAAGGTAGATGTTTTGTAACAAAAGGAGGGGAGTGACTGATTTTGCAGTCCAGGAGCAGAGGTCCCTGGAACCATCAAGGGAGAAGAGTGGAGTACGGGATCCTACCCAGAGAAGCAGCGACAGACGATGATGTGGACAGATGGAGCGGCTGGTGACACTGGGGTCAGGGCTGTGTGCTGATGGCCAGGAAGTCAGCCTGTGGGATGTACCCTTTGGTTGTTTGATGAAGCATAGAGGGGAATGTAATCATTGCTATGAAACGAAATACAGCAGGATGAACGTAAAACTGATGTTCTCCCATGTAAACCCACATAATTCACAATAAAAACTTAAAAAAAAAAAGTCTCTTATTTGCAAATATTTGTTTAAACTTTGAATGGGTGTACATTATAATCTTTTTTCTCTTATATCTATTTTTGAGTGTTGAATCATATTTGCATTTTTAGGATAATTCAAACTTGAACATGATGTGTGTATGTGTGTATTGATTTAGATCAATGAATTTGATTTGTTAATATTTTCACTATGATTTTTATATCTATATTCATAAATTAATGCAGAATCATCATTGTACTTTCCATTTGTAGTTTTTGTATCAAGTTGATAAATATTAAATAAATTGGGAAGTATTCACTTTTCTCTTCCAACTTAAATTTTTATTATGAGTAATACTTTATATTAGTATCATCTGCTCCTTGAATATGTGGCAGAACTCAACTATAAAGCTCTCTGGGAATGGAGTTTATTTTATAGGCAGATATCTATTGGTGAAATCTCTTTAATTGTTATTGTTGTTAAGTGCCATTTAATCAGTTCTGACTCACTGTGACACTGTGTAGAGTTTATTCAAAGCATCAAATCTTTAATTTTATGGGTTAGAATTTCCAATTTTAGTATGCATAAAGTTTTTCATGATAGTCTCCTTTTAAAGCAATCCTATTCGGAGGTCCCTGGAACCATCAAGGAAGAAGAGCAGAGAGCGGGACCCTACCCAGAGAAGCAGTGAAGCCAGAGAAGGAGGCAGAGAGGATGACATGGAGAGATGGAGCAGCTGGGGACTTTACACCCAGAGAGGGAGAGGGGCTGTGTGCTGATGACTGGTGGGCAGGCTTGTGGGGTATACCATTTGGTTGGTTGATGATGCATGGAGGGTATTGTAACCATAACAATGAAACGATATACAATAGGATGAATGTGAAAGTAATGTTATCCCACGTAAATTATCACATAATTCACAATAAAACATTAAAAAAAAAATCTTATTGTTCTAGGAAGTCAACAGTTCGGATCTACCATCTACTCTGTGGGAGAAAGATGAAGTTTCTTGTTCCCATAAAGATTTATAGCCTCAGAAACCGTATTTGGGGTCACTATTAGTCAGAATTGACTCTATGGCACACAGCCACAGCAGCAACATGCTATGGCTTAGATGAAGGAATCAAAAGAGTTAATGAAGACTGGTTTCTGTATTGTTACTCTTCAAAAAATAAGTCATATGTATTATTTTGGCTGCTGAATGCTATGTTAGTAAAATAAAAACCAAAAATACTGCAGTATTAAAGCATACACATGAAAGTAAAGATGGACACACTTGTCAGAAAAATCTTGAATGATTGCCTGTTTATTCTGAATCAGTGTTTCTTTTTAACATATTTTACTCTCTTTGTGTGTATATTTGCATGTATCTTATCATTAAAAAAATATGTAACTGTGAAATCTGTCCTTTTTCACTAATTATCTGGCTAGCTGTGGGCCACAGAGTCGGTTCTGACTCATAGCAACCCTATACCAGGTTTTCGAGGCTGTAAATCTTTACAGGAGCAGAATACCTGATTGTTCTCCCATGGAACATCTGGTAGTTCTGAACTGCTGACCCTGAGGTTCGCAGTCCAATTCATAACCACTACGTTCCCAGAGCTCCTTTCAGAGGATTCTAAAACACTCCTTAGCATTGGATACTTAAAACCAGGGGGTGATAAAGGCACAAAGTGACTGGCTTACAAGGTTTCAAGAGGGAGCTTAGTTTAAGAGTGTGTGTGGGAAGATAGAGTCCCCACTGAATAGCTTTCATCTTGTCTAGATAGGCCAGGTGAAAAGAGATGGGGATAGGATTCTTATGCTTCAACAGTGAGTAATTGGTATCATGACTAATTGTGACTGTTACAGTTGTAAAGATAGAAGTTTTGGAACAAAAACGGGGGAGTAGTTGACCCTACAGTCCAGAAATAGAAGACCCTTGGACTACCAAGGGAGAAGAGCACAAGCGGAATGCAGGACCTTATCCAGAGAAGCAGCAACACCAGAGATGGAGGTAACGATGGGGACATGGAGAGAAGGAGAAGCTGAGGATTCTAGATTCATGGAAAGAGAGGGACTGAAAGCTGGCGGCCAAGAGACAGACTTGCAGAATGTGCCCTTTGGTGGTGTAAATTTTTATATATGCCTGAGTGTTTTTTTGTTTTTTTTAAAAAACTAAAATGAGTAGAGAGAAATACTGTTAACTGATGGTACGTGGTGGGGATTATAATCATTGTAATGAAACAAAGTATATGGTTTATTGAATGTAAAACTGATGATCTGCCCTGTAAACCTTCACTCAACTCACAATAAAAACTTTAAAAATAAAAATAAATCAGTAAATAAAAAGCCATTTCTCAGCATAGTGCACCCTCTAAAAAGCAAGTGGGAGAAACTCACCACATGTTAAAACCTACCTCACACTTGACATCAATTAATGTGAGACAGTAATGGCATGATGGCTTCATTATCTTTGGAGATAATGGAGTACTAGATTTACTTTCTTGCTTTTTAGGTTTAAAAGTTGAACCTCACTAAGGTCAGCAGTACAAAACTACCAGCTGTTCCACGGGAGAAAGGTGAGGCTTTCTGCTCCCGTAAAGATTTATAGCCTCAGAAACCCTGTACAGGGTCACTATGAGTCGGAACCGACTCCACGGCACTTAACAACAACAAGAAGTTACATTTAGTCTCACCTGAGCTATTATTCTGTCTTCCATAAAAAAGGAGACAATAGTATCTTCTTCATAGTTGTTCAGGGTAACACGAGGTAATGATGTATGGTAAATACTCAACACAATGCCTTCAAATAAGTTTATGAGGGGCAGTAGTGGTATAGTAGATAGAACATCTGACCCAGTGAATATCTGAATTGGAATCCTAGCTTTGCTACTTAATAGCTGTGTTATCTTAGGCAATGCAACTAACGTCTCTGAGCATCAAATTTATTTTATTAAAAAATGACTGCCTTTGAAGGTTGTCATGAACATTAAATGAGATCTAATTTGAAAAAATTCTTGGTAAGCTGTCAATAAGCATTCGCTGTGTGCTTACTAAGAAAAGAAACTGGCTAGCCATTGCCTTTGAAATATGAAAGTTCTTTCTCCAAACAAGAGACTAAAACAAACGTATGATCAGAATTCAATACGGTCTAGCTTTGGAAACGTAAGTTTTCAAATAGCAAGAATAAGAACTATATACTCAACTATCTTTTAAGGAATAAAAGCATCAATCAAAGCTGGTTCTAATGTTTCTAGATCTAAGGTTTGTTGACATAAAAGACACAACAGTTCAAAAGCAGCAGAGGAGAGAAGAGTACAAGGGAAAACGATCCTATTGATATTTTTGTGTCCATGGTACTTGTAATGCTTTGACTGCTGCAGTTCAAATGTGCACTAACCTTGGCTTCTCTTTCAGCATCGATTATGCCTCCAGTTTGCTCCTGCAGTAAGGCATATGCTCTTTGGAGGGCCTGATATTCTTTTGTTAATTGTCGAAATCGTAGTTCAGATTCTTCAGCTGCTAAACTCTGGAGTTTAACAAAACAAAATAAAAATAATAATTATGCTATGTTCAAGTCCTTTGGTTCAATGTAAAAATATTAATATTTGTTTACTTTTTTAAAGAGACATTAATGGTTGGTTTGATTTTGCACCCTGTTTGATTTCACTTTTAACTCCCAAGTGTGTGTATATACACAAATTTTATGAGTAACAATATCAAGACAAACATTGCAGAAATGTTAGATGACACTGAGTCAGTGACGACTCGTAGCAACCCTATACACAACAGAACAAAATACTGTCTAATCCTACACCATCTTCACAATTGTTGCAATGTTTGAGCCTATTGTTACAGCCAACATGAGAATGAGAGTCTTCCTCTTTTTTGCTGACACTCTCTACTGTATCCAGCATGATGTCCAAAGTACATAAGAGAAAGTCTCGCCCTCCTCATGTCTAAGGAGCATTCTAGGCTGTATTTCTTCCAAAACAGATTATTTGTTGTTCTGGCAGTCCATGGTATATTCGGTATTATTCACCAGCATCATAATTCAAAGCCATCAATTCTTTGGTCTTTCTTCTTCTTTGGCCAGGTTTCACATGTCTATGAGACAACTGAAATTACTATGGATTCAGTCAAGGGTACCTTACTCCTCCAAGTGAAATATTTACTTTTTAACAGTTTATAACGGTCTTTTGCAACAGATTTGCCAAATGCAATATGTCACTTGATTTCTTGACTGCTACTTCTATGGGTTTTGATTGTGTATCCAAATCAAAAAAAGTGTTGTTTATTAAGTTGTGAATATTTTAATTTTCATTATGTTGAAGTATAATGGATAATGAAGGTTTTGATCATTAATAAGTGCTTCAAGTCCTCTTCACATTCAGCAAGTGAGGTTGTATCATCTGCAAATTGCAAGTGTTAATGAGTCTTCCTCTAATCCAGATTTAGCATTCTTCTTCATATAGTTCAGCTTCTAAGATTATGTGCTCAGCATACAGATTAACTAAGTGTGGTAAAAGGATAAAACCTTCACAATGTTTCCTGATTTTAAAGCAAGCTGTACCCCCTTGTTCTGTTGGAATAATGGCCTCTTGGACTATGCATATACAGGTTCAGATTTCTTTGCACAGAAAGTGAGTACACCTCCAGTGCTGCAACAGATGGTTGAAACATTTCAATTCATATTCTGTCAATGCCTCAAGCCTTGTTTTTTACCAATGTTTTCATTGTAGCTTGAACGTCTTCCTTTAATACCATTGATTCTTGATGGTATGCAACCTCTTGAAAGGGATGAAAAATGACTATTTCTTTTTGGTATAGTGATTCTGTATATTCCATCATCTTTTTTAAATATATATATATACTTCCTCCATTGTTCAATATTTTGCACAAAGAATCTTTGACTGTCATAACTTTAGACTTGGATTTTTGTCTTCAGTTCTTTTAGCTTGAGATATGATCTGTGAGCATGTTCTTCCCTTTTGGTTTTCTAACTAAAGTTTTTTATACATTTCATTTTTCTAGCTTATCTTCTTATGCTACCCTTTGAAATTTTCTGTCAAGTTCTTTTGCTTCATTTCTTGCATTAACTTTGTTGTTGCTGTTGTTGTTGTTAGGTGCCATTGAGTCGGTACCAACTCACAGCAACCTTATGCACAGCAGAACGAAACACTGCCTGATCCTGGGCCAACCTCACTATTGTTGCCACACTTGAGCCCACTGATGCTGCCACTTGACCAATCCATCTTGCTGGGGGTCTTCCTTTTTTTCTCTGACCCTCCACCTCACCAAACCTGATATTCTTCTCCAGCGATTGGTCCTTCTTGACAATATGTCCAAAGTATGAGAGATGAAGTTTGGCCATCTTGGCCTCTAAGGAGCACACTGGCTGCACTTCTTCCAACACAGGTTCTTTCGGCAGCCCATGACACTTTCAATTTTCTCCTCCAACACCATAACTCAAATGCATCAATTCTTCTACAATTTTCCTTATTCACTGTCCAACTTTTGCATGCATAAAAGGTTACTGAAAATACCCATGGCTTGGGTCAGGTGCACCTTAGTCCTCAAGCTGACATCTTTGCTCTTCAACACTTTAAAAAGGTCTTGTGCAGCAGATGTGCATCCACTTTAGCTTCCCTAAATTCAAGAGCATGTTTCAGAGTCCCTTCTGACTTCCATTTTGTAAGGATTTCATTTTAACAAAAAAATTTGTTTGCTTATTTGTGTATTTCTGATTATTATGTTTGATCCTGGCTTTTAGTTCATTTTAAATCCAAATGAAAAGAACTGATATTCAGATTTTGGAGCAAAATTTGCAAGAAATGACATGCAGAATTTTAATTTCACCTACTTTTTAAAAAAAATATTACTACATACATATAGAAGGAGCCCTTGCAGCATAATGGATTATGAGCTGGGTTGATAACCACAAGATTAGTAGTTCGAATCTCCCAGTTGCTCCACAGTAGGAAGATGAGGCTTTCTGCACTTGTAAAGCCTTGGAAATCCTATACAGGGTTGCCATGAGTCAGAATCAATTCCATGGCACACCACCACCATCACCATCACCACCACCACCACATTCTTTTGCACAAAGAATCTTTGAATGTCATAACTTGAAACAAGTTTCTACAGAGAAACTTGTTCCCCAAATTAAGTATGAAACAAAAACAAAACCATAGTTTTACAGTTTTAAGTCTCTTAAACTTAAATACACAGTATAAAAGTATCGACAGGGTTTCTGTAAAAATGCTGATTTAAGGGCTGGGAGGGACTCCACATTCAAGATCCTATGTCAGGAGCTGTGTGATAGGTCCAGGGAATTTTCACTGTAACTGTACCCACTCAGATGATTCTGCTGAGGTAGACTACTAGACATTGTCCTGGACTGTACCCAAAAGTTTTCTGAATTGTTTGCTTTACACGCTCCCTAAATGGAGATCTGGGACCGTGGCTTTTATTTTGAAAACAGTCTTTAAGTTACCGAGGGAATTATACAGAGATTTCTAAGATGGTTACCTGACATGAGTGAATTTACTTTCCAAGACACAGCAAAGTCAAAAGTAGTCTCAAAATTGCTCACTATCATCAGATTACTTTGTGTTTTTTTGTGAAGGAGCGAAAAGCTAAATATCTTTCTGCCCTTAGGAAACAACCTGATAAGAATATTCCAAGAGACTAGAAAAGTGGAAAAGCTTACTTCATCCAAGTCATCATCAGGCGTAGCTGGTGTCCGGTCTGTCCTAAATGAGGCCATAGATGATGTTTCTGAATCCATGGAATCTTCATCATAGCCAATAAATGGGTCCAAAACAGGCCGCTGGTGGAGAGAAAGTACATATTGATTGGTGGTGGTGGTAGTTATGTGCAGTGGGGTTGGTTCCGACTCATAGCGACCCAGTACAGGGATTCTGAGGCTGTATATCTTTATGGGAGCAAAAAGTCTCCTCTTTCTCCCGTGGAACAGCTGGTAGTTTTGAACTGTTGACCCTGAGTTTAACAGCCCAATCTGTAAACACTACGCTACCAGAGCTCCTTCCTTACAGATTGATTGGCACAATTAAAATTGGAAGAAGTTGGCATCCTTCTAGAACACTAGCAACTTGCATTAAGTTGTTAAGTATTATCAAGTCGATTCCGACTCATAGTGACACTGTACAGGGTTTTTTAGGAGTAGCTGGTAGGTTTGAACCACTGACCTTGTGGTTAGCAGTCCGGTGCTTATCCTACAAGACCACAGTGGCATAAGTGCATATGAATATACAATACAGAGATCCTTGAATATTTCTGTTATTAAATAAAAATATTAGGCATGAACTTAATAATTGCTGCACTTGTGATGTGTTCAAGGAAAATTCATTAGTGTGTGCCTCTCTTCATGGAACTATTAGAGCATCGTTACATTACATTTTATGCTATGAGTTTTGCAATTTAGTCTTTCTAGTGTTTAAAGTATGATCATGTGGCTCTCTAAGTCCATGTATGTACGTGAGAGGAATTTGTAGAAATTAAGTTTTCTGTTTCATTTCCAAATTTATTTGGAAAAATGCAAAAATCAAAATTGAAAGAGAGAAAAACTGAAAAGCAAAACTTGGTGAATTATCAGAGGTTTGAACTGCAACATCGGTGGTTCAAACTCACCAGCTGCTCCTTGGAAACCCTATACAAAGTTGCTATGAGTCAGAACCAACTTGACGGCACTTAACAACGACAACATATCGATCTTAGTAGGATGAGCATACTATTATCATGATTTCCCAAGAAAAATATAATACATGAATCAATTAAAAGGTGGCTATCAGATTCTTTGTTTATATTTTAGAGCTATCACCTCATGTGTATCCCTTGCGTGCATTTAGAATGTGGCTCTCTAACTTGTCAGATAACCCTATCTACATCAAACTTGTGACTTCTCTATTCAGAAAAAGACATATGCTAACATTTCCATATTCAATCAAACCCTTATAGGTAAAGATCGACAACAAATTCATTTTGGGACTTCTGAGAACTGAAATGAGAGAGATTCTCTTCTAGAAAACACTGTATGTCCATGGTTTGCTGCATTCCAGGAACATCTGATTTATCACATCTTTGCAGAAAGATTTTTTTTTTGGCAAGCTTCACCTGTCTGGCTGTGTTTGTGGCAAATGTATGATAATTTAGTTTTCTCATTACCTTAATTGGCTTGGAACTTCTTCTATGTTTTCTCCTACGAATGAGTTTTTCTCGGTCCTGGAAAACAGATGAAAGGATTTTTCAGATGTACAGTTGGTACATATTTCCCTGGTGTTGTATGCAAAGGTAGATTTGTCCCCCGCCTGCCCCCCGCCTTTAAGGGATACTTCTGTTTAAAGTAATATTATGTTTTGGAAATTCTGACAAATTTTGTGTATGATAATTACAAACAGTAAGAAGAAGAATATTTTATTGGGAATCTGCATGATGGGATAGCCTTACAACAGGAAGTATATCATGTCATCCTAACCAGAATCCTCTGCTTCATACTAGAAAATCAACCAGCTCTGAAAGTATTTACCACATGCCCCTAAAGAACAATTCTTCAGTTTTCACACATCAGAAATTACTTAAGTGTTGAAAAAAAGATTATTTCACAATAATGTTAAATTTTATTCTTTTTATATAATTATTTGAAATACTTTAAGGGCTGACTACCATTTGGCAATTTATGGATACCTGCTCCTCCTTGAAGATGGGAACAGAGGGTCTACTTGTTCTCTTGAGTCACCTAACTTTGTGTTTTTGTTTTTTTGTTCACACTGGAATTTTCTGGAACACTAAATAAATACCTACAATTAACTGTAGACTTCTTGATTCCACATTGTTATAAACAGAGAAACTCTTGACATCTGTGATTGATCTACATAGTACTCCATGTAGTTACTGTACAAATTCCAAGTAACGTCAAACAAATATCACCAACGTCTCCGTGAAAGCCTTGTTGATGTCATAAACAACCCACAATACTATAAGAAAGCCACAGCTTAATCCCAAGATGTTCAAAGCCAGGCATATTCCTGGGCTAAAACATTTATGAGATGCATGAGTTATCAAGGATCTGAAGTAAAGTGAGGGGTACAGAACTTCAGGGGACCACATTTGATAAGTAATCTAATCTAGCTTCATCATGTCAATGATTTTTAAACTTTTTACATTTATAGGTCAAAATATTTGATCATGCAACCTCAAGATCTCAGAAACTTGAAAAATAGAAACATGTACTTAGATTTAACTCTTACTAAGTGCTCTTATTAAGAGCTCTGGTAGCGTAGTGGTTACGAATTGGGCTGCGAACCTTAAGGCCAGCAGTTCGAAACTACCAGCTGTTCAGCGGGAGAAAGATGAGGCATTCTGCTCCTGTAAAGATTTACAGTCTAGGAAACCCTGAACAGGGTCGTTATGATTCGGTCCGACTCCACGGCACATAACCACCACCACCACCACGTGCCCTTATTATATAAATATATATGTACCATATATACTTATAATATATACTCAACATATGCATTTAAAAATGGGCAAACCCTAAGTAACTACACGTGGTAGCCCAGAAGTTGGAATCTTTCTTTTACTCAATGGCAATGAATCCACTGGTTCACTTTACTTTGAAGACCATTACCTAAAACACCCTATCACTCTTCCCAACCCTCTAGTTTGTGGCTTAGTCCTGAAGTGAGAATAAAGACAGAGTTAGAGTGGAAAACCCAAAGGTGTCTAGAGGTCCAATCTTTTTGGTAACATACAACTTGGCCACATGTAAATGTGAGCAATAACTGCTCTACCTACATTAGCATATGATGAAGTATTGGTCAGGAAAGCTGAACTAGAATTTTAGCTCTGCTACATAATTATGCTGTGTTCTTTAAAGAGTAGACATAGTCCCACTTAAAACCAAATGGCCACCACTAGTCTGTCAGTTTGTCGTACTGTGGTAGCTTGTAAGTTGCTGTGATTCTGAAAGCTATGCCACTGGAATTTTAAATACCAGCAGGGTCACCCATGATGGACAGGTTTCAGATGAGCTTTCAGACAAAGACAGACTATAGTCACCGAAAACCTTATGAATAGCAGAGAAACACTGTCAGATATAGTGCTGGAAAATGAGCCCCTCAGGTTGGAAGGCACTTAAAATGCAGCTGGGGAAGAACTGCCTCCTCAAAGTAGAGATGACCGTGATAAAGCGAATGGAGTAAAGTCCATGGGAGAAAAGCCCACAGGACCTTCATTTGTTGATGGGCCACAACTCAAAATGAACAGAAACAGCTGTAAACATCCATTGAAAATTGGAACATGGAATGTCGAAGTATGAATCTGGGAAAATTGGAAGTTGTCAAAAATGAAATTGGAATGCATAAACATCGATATCTTAGGCATTAATGAGCTGAAATGGACTGGTATTGGCCATTTTGAATCTGACAACTACATGATTTACTATGCAGGAATGACAAATTGAAGAGGAATGGTGTTGCATTCATCTTCAAAAAGAACATATCCAGATCAGTCATGAGGTACAATGCTGTCAGTGATAGGATAATATCCATGTGCCTACAGGGAAGCCCAGTTAATACCACTATTATTCAAATTTATGCACCAACCACTAAAGCCAATGAGGATGAAA